AGGGAGCGAAATCAGATGCGCTCGTTTTCTCAGATGCTTGCAGAAAAAGGCTTCCCAAAACAAAGTTACTGGGTTCATCTTTTTCACGTTTCTTGGTTGGTAGATGCACCGGGGACCTGATTATAGCACTTAAAACCTGGAAAAGTCAGATTTTCATGATATGTCACCTTTAATGTTTTAGCCTGCTAAGTGTTTTTTTATTTTTTATTTAATCATTTATTTAAATTTTACATTTTTATGATTCTTTTCTTTTTTTAGTAAGTATTTTTTGTTTTTATTTTAAAACTGTGTTTTTAGTATTTTTAGTGTTTTATTTTGCTTGTTTTTATTTAAAAATAACAAATGTAATTTTACATTAAGATTTAATTAGATCAATTTACACATTACATTTGCATCTTTATTTAAATTAACTCAGCATCACATAATTAAAATTTTAAAAAGCTAAACAAAAGCAAAACCATGTGTAGAGGATTGCGATTGTTGACGCTGATAGTTGAGCTCAATCAGTCTAAAGCAATAGAAGAAGTAGTTCTTGTAGTTCTGAATGAAAGCGGTTGTTTCTAAACCAAAGAAGAAGAAGCTATTGTTGTTTTTATTATTATTGTGTTCAATTCTATTATTTGTATTGTGTTGATCATCTCTTTATGTACAATCATGAGCGAGATTCCAGTTTCCAGAAAACGCATTATGAACAGTAAAGGAGGACTCTGATCAGATGATGTCCGTGCTTCATCTTCTCTGTGAGGAAGAGCTCCTGATACGCTGGTTTTAGGTCTTGGGTTGGTGTTAGAGATGTATCTCTCTTTAGATGCTCACTTAGGCCTGACAGCTCCATTTGTCTTCCTTTGTTTAGGACGAGACGGATCTCGCGTGACCTATAGTCAGACCAGCGTACTGAAGCTGAGAGGAGAAACATCTTATTCTTTAAACCAGAGATTTCAAAGCGTTCTGTCAGGCGAACCCCTTTGGCATTAATTACTGAAGTGAATATTTCAGTAGTTTAACAACACATTAGCGTATACACAGACAGCTCTCTGAAGTTGGTTAGTGGCCACATGACATGCAGGAAAACAAATAAAACTATCTTTTTAGTAAGGGTTTATTTTGATTCTTTTTTTAAATTATGTATTTTAATTTTGTATTTTTATGATTTTTTTATTTTTAGTAAGTTTTTTTTTATTTTATTTTAATCATTTATTTTAATTTTGCATTTTTATTATTTAATAATTTTTAGTGTTTTGATTTATTTTTATTTTTGATAAGTGTTTTATTTTTTGTTTCTATTTTAATATTTTCTTTTAAATTTGCATTTTTGTGACAATAAATTTTAGTGTTTTGATTTATTTTATTTTAATCATTTATTTTAGTTTTCCATTTATTATAACATTTTTAGTTAGTGTTTTATTTAGTTTTTTTAATTTTAATCATTTATTTTAATATTAAATTTTTATGATTTGATTTTTTTGTCAGTATTTTGTTTTATTTTAATACTATGAATTTTAATTGTGTATTTTTATAATTTAATTACTAATAGTATTTCATTTGCATTAAAATTTAATGTCCAGTGTTTTATTTTTGTTTTGGTTTAAGTTAGTGTTTTCATTTTATTCTTTTAATAATTTTTCATTTTTATGATTTCATTAATGTTTTTTTTTAATTTTTTTTATTTAAAGTTATTTGTTAT